CCAGCAAGGTTCAACCAAACTTGATTCAGACAAACATGACTCCACATGGGAGTCTGATTACAGCCAATAGAATACATTCCTTGCCACAGGAACAGGAAGCTCAAGGGCAAGGCCCAAGAGAGGGTATAAATAACCCTCACTCTCCACTCCATGTGTTCAGCTGCACCAGGACTTTAAACCCATGTGGTCCTGTCCACCAATAAACCATTTTTCCAATCAACCTCCATGTTTCCAGTGTCTTTCTCCCCACTTGGAACTGAACTCAGATGAATATTTATTCCAACACTAATAAATTGTGGAACATTTGCTGGCTGGGGAATTCTGGAAGTTGAAGTTGACATAATTAGAAAGTACTGCCCTAGTGCTCAGGAAGGTTTATAAATGGGTTGTGGGGACAAGGACTGGACCCAACAAGGTGTCTCAAGGGAAAGATTGTCGTGGACACAGATAAATAAAATTATATACAGTATTCATGCTTTTAGGGTAAGAGACCTTAGGAATCCAAACCCCCTCTGTTGTGGAGAGAAACTAATGCTTTGCTTCCAAAAGAAGGACAAGATGGTATATTGATTAAAAATTATAGACCAATTTCTCTGTAAAATAATAACTATAAATGTTTTATGGCAATATTGGGGGAAAGATTAAAGAAGATGCTGCAGAATTTTATAAGTAAAGACCAAGTTGACTTTTTACTGAAATTGAGAGACAAAGTTAGAAGGGTCTTGAATGTAATTGAATATTTGCAATACCATAATAAGACTTGGGCAGCCTTAATATTTTTAGATGGTGAAAAAGCCTTTGACAATTTAAATTGGGTCTTTTTGTTTAGACCATGGGTCGTCAACCTGGTCCCTACCGCCCACTAGTGGGCATTTCGGGATTCCAGGTGGGTGGTAGGAACTTCGGAGGTTAAAGCCTCTTTTTGAGCAAGTGGGCAGGCGCGAGCGCACACATCAATAAACCAACGTGCGCNGGGTTTTCATGAGCTGTAAGCCATAATCATCACAATTATGACAAATCAGGGTTTGAACTATCTTGCTTTGCATGTAATGAGTACATTTCATATATTAGTTTCACCTTTTAAGTTGCATTACTGAAATAAATGAACTTTTGCACGATATTCTAATTTTTTGAGTTTCACCTGTATGTTGCGCTTCACCACGCCCAGCTATGCACATCGTCAGTCACCTCCACGCCTCACCTGCTTAGCTCACCAAAGGTAAGCATGCCTCCCGCTTGCCCTTCGCCTTTGGTCAGGAGCCGGGCCCCAGGTACACTCCATTCCTCGAGGTCCTGGAGCCGCTGCCTGTCTCGCCCGGGGAATGTGCCATTCCCCGGATCTGGCCTTGCCCAGGAGCCACCACCTGCTCACCCTCTGCCTCGCTCACCTACCTTCCATTCTGGTCGCCTTGGTGGTGGGGACACAAGGCTCGGACAGCTTTTGCGGTAAGCCTCCAGCTGCTGGTTGTTTTCGGCTGCCTCCCAAGCAGCTCGGCTGCGATGCTGTCCATCCAGCACATCAGGCCGTTCTCCTGGCCAGGTCTGGTGGCTGGCTGTGAGCAGCACCAACAGGCAATGGGGTGCACAGTCAGCACGAAGAACAGAACAGCAGCGACATTCACAAGTCAAGTCCCATGACCATTGCCGCCATCGCCGCCCTGTTCGCACTGGCTGTGCACACACAACCGATTGCCTGCCGGTTAATCACTTCTTAATGGAGCACCCACAACTTCTGAAGGCAAAACTGAAAACAATAACTGCTGGCTCATATTTAACTGGTTTAACTATGACTCCAAGATCCCTCTCAGAGTTACTATTAAGCCTGGTTTCACTCAATCTAGATTTGTACTTTTGGTTTTTCTTGCCCAAGTGTAAGACTTTAGTTTTCTCTACATTGAATTTCATTCGTTGCTTTTTTTCCCCAGAATCTTCCCAGTTATTGATGTCAGATTGATACATCTGTAGTTTCCTGGATCTTTTTTTCCCCTTTTTTGAAGATGGGAACTACATCAGCTCTTTTCCAATCCTCTGGTAGTTCCCCAGTGCTCCAGGATTTTCGAAAGATGTGGTATAGTGGTTCTAAGATCATATCTGCTAGATCCTTTAGAACTCAGGGATGTAATCCATCAGGTCCTGGTGATTTGTGTTTGTCAAGATCAGACAGGTGTTCTCTTATCATTTTTTTGCTTATTTTAATTTTTAGTCTGTCTTTTACAGTTGGTTTGATCATCATTATGTTCAATTTGGACATATTCTTCTTGCAAGGTTTGGGGTTTTTCACTTTGTAGGTTCAGAGTGGTTAGTTTCCTAGACCCTTCCTACAGCCTACAATAAGCTCTCCTCTCCGCAGTCGCCTCTCCTCCTCCCTGCTCCGCTCTCTCACTGGCTCGTCTTTTTGTTCTCTGCCGATCGTTGCTTTGCCGCACGGATGATTTTCCTCCTTGCACCACAGGTGACCCCACTCACCCACCAGCTGGCCTCCTTGTTCTCTGCCGGTTCGTTTTGCCTCTCCGCTCACCTCACTTCAATGGGCCTCCGGGCTCTTTGGGTAAGGCCTCCTGAGTACAGCTGGACTTCTCTCAGCAAGCTAAGTTCCCTGCGGGCCCTTGGTGACGTTTTCCTCCTATTTCTCCAATCTCCGTTTCCTTTCTCCACTCTTTTCTTTTTCTAGGATTTATGTCTCCCTCTCCATCTCTCCTCCTATCGTTTATCTTGGATTACTAGCAACTTTCTCCCCACGATGTAACTATTCTTCCTCAGTTGCCCCGATCTTAGAAGGATATCCACGTTGTAACCCTGTAACATTTCCTTCCCAAGAGGCGGGGCGGAACAAAACAGTAGGAGGATTTGATGCCGTGACTAATTTCCTCCTTCGCGAGGTGACTCCCTCCCTTCCATAGAGATGCGTATCGGAGAGTGACTCACTCCACGATTTCAAAGCGAATTTCCGGATCCAAAGATACTCTTGTTTTTCTTCTTTCCTTTGCTGCTGTTTCCCTCCAGCTCCTTAAAGGAGGAATTAGAGCCGCTCTTCCAAAGCCAGGAAGAAATCCCAGGTTTCCTTACACTTGTGACCGGGGAATCGCCGGTAAGCAAATTTCGGCTCAGAGCGGTGGAGGTCTTTCTAACTCGGCCCTTCTTTTGTTTGCCTCAGCCCATCTTTTCGGTGGCGCGTGGAATTCTAGGGGCACAGGAAGCTTCAAGTATCCCCGTATATTTCATCTCCCCGGCTCGAAGGCCTGTCTTTGATGACCAGCAACGTGCGCAGTCCGGAGCGCCGCTCGCAGCTCAGCCAAGGCATACTTGAGAAAGACGCGTCAGTCCTGGAACGGATGTATAGGGAGCTCTCTAGCGATCCTTGGGTTTTGCCGGAAAGGGGCAGGAACGACTTGTTCCTCAAGTCCACAGCTATATAAGCTGTCTGCGAATTTTTTTTTCGCTCTATAGACGCGGCGCAAAAAAGAAAGGGGGTTCTTCCGTTCCTTGCGCGTGATGCACTTCCTGTTTGCGGCTCTGCTAGAAAGTGTAGAACTGCTCCTTCTAAAGCGAAGGAGAGCAGGCCCCGAGAGGAGACTGGTTTGCTGCTGTCGCTGTTCGGAGGAGCGAGTGGGTGAGATCCGGGACGGTGAGAGCTGCTCGGGTGAGAAAAGCAGTTATGAGTCGCCGCCAATTTTTAATGCGCCGGGGGGGGGGGGCAGGAAAATTGGGGCTCTCAGCAACGGGTCTCGCACGCCGGGCCTCTTTAGTGACTCGTACTCTTTCCTGATTGGCCAAAGAGACACAGAGAGGATGGATTGGCGATGTCCCACCCAGTTCCCCGCTGGCGTTAGGTGGAGAAACGTGGAGAAGGAAGGTGTTTGCCTTCTTCCCCCTGCTGCTGTGACTCCAGGTCGTTTCCTCCCCGTTCTGTCTCTTACCTTGTCCGCGGGATTGCCTCTTAGCGGCTATGCATGGGCAGAAGCAGGAACACTTTAGAAGCACTAAAGAGGCCTGACTGCAGGTGGAAGAGATCCCCTAGAGCAGTGTTTTTTCAACCTTGCCACCTTTAAGATACAGTAGTGGCCAACATTGTGGAAACCTTTTGGGAAAAGTGTATTTTTGAGGTTTGGTGGCTAATACCACTTTTTTTTGGAGTAGTACCATAAAATTATATATCAATGGAAAGATAATTTAATCCAGAATGTGATGCAACCAAGTTCGTTCAATTATCTGTATTCTATGAAAAGTTATAGCCAAATAACCAGAAAAAGGAAGCACAACTTGCTTAGGTTGATGTCAGGTAGCTTTCCTTCATCTGATTGTAGCCAATGAGCATGAGTGTTTAGNAACTCACAATCCCCATCCAAACAGCACCAAATTGCAAAAAGCTTATGCTTTTCACTTAAAAACCACCAGTATTTATTTAAATATAACATTATTTGCATAGAAGTTAGCAATGGCCTATCAAAAAAATGTCATAAACCATAAATCGTAAAGCGTGCAGGACTTTTTCACAAAGCTGTATTTTAACCTTTAATTATCTTTCCATTATCATATTCAATCAGTTAGCAACTCAGTTTAATTATTAATATATATAGAGTAAACCACATATATCAACTTTATATTTGCCATATAATGGTTTCTAATTGTCAGATTTTTTTCCTAGTAAGTCTTTTGTCCCACTACTCTATTCCTGTCTTCTCCCTTTTCTTCATTTTAACATGTCCACCCTCTTCAATTTTCCCCAAGCCACTGTCAAACCCAGTGAAATCTTTTGTATTTCCCTTTGTTGGGGCATAACCCCCCTCTTCTGTTTTCCCTATGCCACTGTCAAACTCAGTGAGAACTTTTGTCTGCTTTTTATTTTCCACCGTTTCTAACACTTCATTATCCCTCCCCTCTTCTTCCTTCACTTCTTCCTTCACTTCCTGCTTCTCCATATCTAACTTCAAAATTCTATTTAGACTTGATTTTAATGATTTATGCATATTTTTTATAATTTCATATAGTTCTTCAAATTCCCACCTTTCCATAATGTCCAGTTCCAAAATTACAGTTAGTTATACAGTTCTTATTTCAGAGTTCTGCTCCACCTTATATTTAGCTAATTCAGCTAATGTGAAGAGGAAGAGAAGCGGAAGCCATCTTGATCCTTTGTTCTCCCTCCGGCAAAAAACTTCTTTTTTTCCCATTATTATTTCATTTAATAGAGCATAACACGTTGTACAAGATGGCCAAGTTTTGTTTCTCTCAACAAAATATTGCCAGATATTATGTCAGAAAGTTGCTGAACCCTCATAGTCATACTGTAGAAGGCTGCAGTATGGGGTCACACAGATGACTATATCTCTGCAAGTATTGCATCAGCACATGTAACACTTTACCAATGTTCATTGGGGATGTGTGTGCATGTTCACACCAAATTTCATCGACATTCATGATGGATGAGCAGGGAGCCCCAGACCACTTGACATGGAATGACCCAGAGGGGCTTTGGTGGAAGATGAATGGTTCTAGCAACATAAAGACAAGCTCTCAATGAGGAATGGGTTAGCATGGTGGTGTCCAAGCTGTATGTTCCGGTGAACCAGTGAACCTTGGTGCTGCAACGCAGCCACAATACAAAAGCAGTGGGGCACTTTGGATTTGTGAAAACCCTCCATTACCTAAAGCGACAGTTTTGGTAGCCACACATGAAGAAGTATATAGAGACTTATGGGTCCAGCTGCTCAGTGTGTGCATCAGTAAAGAGGCTACCCGGAAAAGCCCCAGGCTGCTACAAGTCCCTCAGCCCCCTAGAGGGAAAGATCAATGGACTTTATTGTGGAGTTGCCAGACAGCACTGGGAATACCATAACCTGGGTCATTACAGACCTTTTCTACAAACAAGCCCACTTTGTGGCTTGCTCCAGGATCCCCTCCATCCAGTCACTGGCTAAGCTGTTTTTGCAACACATGTACTGGCTGCATAACAACAGACCGGTGTGTGTGTGTGTGTGTGTGTGTGTGTGTGTACACAATTCACTTCAAAATAATGGCATGAGTTTCCGAAACTGTTAGACTCCTCACAGAGCCTTAGCTCCACCCATCATCTCCAAAGAATGGAACTTGTGAACGCACGAATGCCATGCTAGAGCAGTACTTCTGATGCTATGTGAACTACCAGCAAGAGAAATGGGCCAAGATTCTGCCATTCGCTGAAGTGGCATACAACAACTCTGTACACAGTAGCACTGGTTTCACTCCTTTCCAGGTAGCTACCAGCATAGAATTGGTGCCCATGCCAGACCTCCCTCAGCAGACCCCTTCGAACGCATCACTGGCCAAATGGATCAACACTATACAAAACACCTGGCCTGTAGTTCGTAAGGTGCTGGAAGCCGCAAGAGAGGCACAGAAGAGACAGGCTGACAGGAAGAGGGCACCCCAAAAGGAGTTTAAGATAGGGGAGAGGGTGTATCTGTCTACCAAGTTCCAGCAGTTAGGGCAACTGTTGTGGCCCAGCAGGAGCCGTTGGAGCTGCCACCAGACTCCGACAGCGAGGGGCCCTATGAGTCGGCTCTGGAGGATGTAGAGGACCCTGGACAGGGTTCCGACTCCGAGCAGGGCACAGAGAAGCTGGTTGGCCACCAGGAGGCGCTTGAGCCTTGGACCAGTGGGGAGGAGACAAGGGAGAGTGATCCGGACACCAACAGTGAGTTGTTCCTGAATGCCCGGCACCAAAGAGCTAATAGAGGTCAGGAACAGTTGCTCAGTTACAGGAGATAATTGCACTCAGCTAGTGGTCATTAGGCTCCTCTCCAGACTATAACAGGAAGGCTTGGGCACACACCCTTTTTTCAGAAGTCAACGCATTAACTAATGTTTGATGAACAGTATTGTGAGCTTGGCAGGCTGGATTGCTGCCAGGGCTTATCTGTGCTGGATTGCTATCCCAGTTTATCTGTGCCAGTTTGCTGCCAAGGACCTGTCTGTCTGTGAATAAATTCCGTAAAGTATCTTTGGCTTGGAGTGTTTTGGTGTGGGATGAGGGGGGGTCAGAACAGGCAATCATGCAAGAAGCTAGGGCCTAAGTACATATGACCCTTCCCCATCATCTGGATCATAAATCTGGTGACAGTAGAGCTGAAGCTGCCAAAGAACCTTAGACATGTCTACCCAGTGTTTCATTGTAGCTTACTGAAACCTTTTTGTGAGTCGCCCCTGTGACTGGACGCTGAGCCAGCCCCTCCTCCCATATGGGTAGAAGGAGAGAAACATTTTGAGGTTAAGGAGATCCTGGACTCCCAAATCCACAATGGGAAGTTGCAATATGTAGTCCTGTGGAAGGGGTTCCCTCAAATCAGCAGTTTGTAGCAGCAGCCAATAAAGCTAATACAATCCTTGATTGTATAAACAGAGGCATAGAAGCAAAATTACGTTAAGTATTAGTATTGCTTTATAAAGCCTTAGTAAGACCACACCTGGAATACTGCATCTAGTTTTGGTCACCACATTAAAAAAAAGTTGTTGAGACTTTGGAAAAAGTGCAAAGAACAACAACTAAGAGGATGAAAGGCCTGGAGACTAAAACATATGAAGAATGGTTGCAGGATTCGGGTCTGGCTAGTCTAGAGAAAGGAAGGAATAGGGGTGACATGATAACAGTATTCCAGTATTTGAGAGGCTGCCACAAAGAGGAGGGGGTCAATTTATTTTCCATACCACCAGAGGGCAGGACAAGAAACAATGGACAGAAACTAATCAAGGAGAGAAGCAATCTGTCATTTAGCGTTTAGCAGACAAGAAATGCAGACAAGAAAGTTAATTGGGTACTTTTTATCTGGCAATCTGGAAATCTGGCACAGAGTGACAAACAGTAAGGAAAACAAAGTCAGTGCTACTGTGGTTTAACCCTCCACTCCTTAAATGCCCTTTAGCCCACCCCCAAGGTTCCACCCCTTGGGCTCCGCCCCATATAATTACCACCCCTCACACGCCACCATTTTGCCAGCGTCCTTGCAGCTGCAGAGCTTTCCATCCAGCACACCATGCTTGCTTTCAGCATGCCAGGCTCCCTGTGCATGCTCCGCCACCCATCTGGTCTGCTGCGCATCAGCTGTTTATGAA